GCCATGCATGACATCACCCGTTCCTCTTCCGGGTTTCCGGCTCGAATGCACGGGCAACGATCAGCTGCCTTCATGTGTGCGGTGGTGCCAGGAACGGGAAAAGCTGTTCTTCCGTTTCCCGGCCTGAATTTGCGCATCGGCCAGCTGATTGTTGCACGCACATACATGCTAGAATCTGGAAGTGCATTTCCTGGCATGTGCATGCTCCCTGGGCAGCTCCCCTTCCAGGGTGCGTCCCAGACAAGCGCACGCATGCTCAGTGCTGAAAAGGTTCGCCGTCACTAGACTGTGAGATTTTTTTTTAATTTTTTTTTTTACAAATGGACAAGTCAGTAACATTTCCTAAGGTGAAGCAGAAATAAACAAACAAATTACCTGATGGAACACAGGCTGTTTCCAGTTTAGGTACACCTGCAAAAAAAGCAGACACAAGACATGATCATCCGCTTGGGACTGACGGATAAGACAATGGGGGGAAAATCAGGTCGGTTTTCCTATATGACAAACTGCAGCAATATTATTTTGCGCACAATAGCAATAGCAGTTAGACTTATATACCGCTTCATAGGGCTTTCAGCCCTCTCTAAGCGGTTTACAGAGTCAGCATATTGCCCCCAACAACAATCCGGGTCCTCATTTTACCCACCTCGGAAGGAAGGAAGGCTGAGTCAACCCTGAGCCAGTGAGATTTGAACAGCCGAACTGCAGAACTGCAGTCAGCTGAAGTAGCCTGCAGTGCTGCACTCTAACCACTGTGCCACCTCGGCTCTTCAAGGTCGAGAAATGTTGCTTCGGAGGGCACCAAGCTACAGGGAAGCTCAACTGTGTCCTTCTGCATTGCCTAGGCCACATTTTATTCCCTTCTTCTTCCTCCTTCCTTCTTCCTCTTTCTTCTTCTCCTTCCTTCCTTCCCCTCCCCAATTTGCTAGGATGATACCTAGAAATTCACTGGCCAGGTTGACGCCTTACACTATTTTACTGAGTCATTCATTTTCTGGCCTGAACCAAAAGTTGAACAAATTAGTCATTAACTAAACAGGCTGAGTTAGCCTGACATGTCCAGACAGACAGACAGACAGACACACCAAATTAATCACCGTTCAAATTAAACAAGCTCGGTGAAGGCAGCGGTTAAATCTTCAATTTAGTTAATAGTGCTCATCAGAAATGGGATGGAAGCGATCTGGCAAGCCCAGCCTTTGTGAGTTATGATTCCCTTCCACCAGACTACAGATCATTTATTTTTCAACCTCTTCAACTTTTAAGCTGGGTGGACTTCAACTCCCAGAATTCTACATCCAGCTGTGGCTGGCTAGGGAATTCTGGGAGTTGAAGTCCACCCAGTTTAAAAGTTGGAAGAGGTCAAGAAACAAAGCTATTGATGCTTCTTGTTTGGGAAAATTCACCATTGCTGCCACACACAAAAAATGCTTTTCCATGCTACAGTACAGTGGCGTGGAACAATCATTCGTTTAAGTGACCATTTGAAGTTACGACGGCACTGAAAAAAGGGAGTTATGACCATTTTTCACATGGCCACTGCAGAATCCCCATGGTCACCTGATCAAAATTTGGACATTTGTGTTGAAATATTCATGCCTGGGAGAGACAAGGGAACAAGGTCAGCCAATGAATAGGCAATAGCAACTAAGTCAGCCAATGGGAGCTTAAACAGATCTGAGTCTGTGCAGAGAATTGAAACAGAAACTTAAGCAGTCTGCTGCTCTGTGAAGTAAACTAGCAGTCTGCCTGTTCTTATCTGCTGATATGAAAATAACTGCTTGTGTTTGCCTGTATCTCTCCTTCCTTGTGTTTACTTGGAAGAATGCCTGTTGCCATTGTACATTTATTCATCTATTCTTATGTAGATAAAGAAGTTAATGAATCCTGCTGCGTCAGTTATCTGCATGTGCTTCTGGATTTGAAGTTATGCAACAAACTCTGACAGCTTGGCAAATGGTTCATATTTACGTCCCCTGGGTCATGTGATCTCACTTTTTGTGACTTTCTGACAAGCAAAGTCAACGGGGGAGCCAAATTCACTTAACAGCCGCGTTCCTAACTTAACGGCTGCAGCGATTCGCTTAAGAACCACGGGAAGAGAGCTCGCGAAACGGGGCCTGACTCACTTAACAACTCGACTAACTTAGCACCGGGTATTTTGGGCTCAGTGATGGTCATGAAGCCGAGGACTGCTTGAAATGCAGGTGGGAAAGGAATGCAGTGGGTGGGTCCTCGGTTTGCAAGCGCCCCACCCCTCCTTATAAAAATAACTTTGGGTAAGACAAATCTCGCTTACTATGCTGACGCCAATGCTGTAGGCTAGTAGTAGAAAGAGAAGAGGGTAGTTGATTGTTTTCTTGTACTTGAAGCATTCATACCTGAAACAAACACCAACGAGAAGGTTTAAGGATGCAAAAGGAAGACCAAATAAATCCTTAGCGCACTATTTGTCCTCGGGTTTTCGAACAGGAGTTTTTTGGGGGAGAACCAAGAGGAACGAAACCCGTTTGCGCAGTTTTAAATTTTAAATTTAAATTTTAAATTCCCCGTGGAGTGCAAAATCCAAATGGTTTGCAAGTTCCTGCCGATGCGGAATTATTATTATTCATTAAATTTATAGGCCGCCCATCCAGTGGTGTGAAGTGGCTGTGGGAGGCTTCTATTATCATAAAACATAGGTATATAAAAACCGATTTAAAATTATGAAAGATGAAAAGGGAGACTCAAGCTTGTGGGAAGAAGCCGAGATCCCCTTTTATTCTATGGTTCTGCAGAAAAGCTGATAACTTGCAAAGCCAGGGTAACATGGGAGGGGAGGGGGAAAAAACCCCACCAGGTTATCCCTCTTCCAAATGAAGGGGATCTGAATTTATTCCCGTGTTTCTGTTTTGTTTTTCAGCTTTAGCAAACCTGAATTGCAAACTTGTCAAACTTGTTTCGATCGGAGGCATACCCTATTTTAGTCATTCTTCAAAGAATACGCTTTCTACTCATCACAAAAGAATTTTTTGTGTGTGTGTTTTTCCCCCTTCTCTAAAATTAGATCCACGTATAATAAAGCAAGAGGCGTGGAATATACCAAGAACAAAACTGTTTCACATTAGCAAAAGTGCTACCTTATGAGGAAATTCTCTCTCCTGCGTGTTAACCAGTATTATAAAAGTTGCTATACGTTTTAGTACAGCTAAGATTAGAGGAAAAAAACAGAAAAATCAAATGTTCAAAGCACATTATGGATTTTGCAGCTCCATCCAATTGTCACAAGAGCACAGATGTTAATAATGTTTTGATAAATTTAGTACCAAAGAAACTTATTTGGGGCAAAAGTTATTTCAACAGGTTTAAAGAAAAAGGATTGAATTTGTTTGAGAGGTACTGGGGAAAAATATATATGATGTCAAACATGGATGCAATAGCAATAGCAGTAGACTTATATACCGCTTCATAGGCCTTTCAGGCCTCTCTAAGCGGTTTACAGAGAAGGATGGAAGGCTGAGTCAACCCTGAGCCGGTGAGATTTGAACCGCTGACCTGCTGATCTAGCAGTAGCCTGCAGCGCTGCATTTA